AAAAAAAAAAAAAAAAAAAAAAAAAAAAAAAAAAAAAAAAAGCCACCTTCCAGAGCTCAGGGGCTTTTCCAGGTAAGAAACACAGAGTGGGTGCTAGAAAGGCTCACCAGTCATGTCTCCCTTTGGGGGGGGGCGGTATCTAGGGAGTGATGTCAGGGTTGCCTAGAGACCACCTGGCATCTGAGTGGCCAGGTTGTGACTTGCAAATCTCAGTTCTTGAGCCTGACATAGACTCTGGACTCTTGCTAAGAAGGGGGTGGGTCACAGCAAAAGCAGTGGTAAACAGGGCTTGATGAAGGGTCAGGGTTCTTCTCATGCTATGTTAAATGAGAGGGATTTGAGCACAGCATTGCTCGTGCTGGGGAAACATTTGAGAATCGTGCATGGCATTTTGACAACACAATGATAAACAGAAGCAGCTCTGCTAAACCAGGAAGGGTCACCACGTATCACGGGGAAAACAAAGGAGGGAGCTACACACACTGACCCACTCTTGGGTGGGGGAGGACTAAGCGACAGTTGATACCCAGTCCCCGAGAGGAAATGCCCGGTCATCTTTCTGCTTCAGATTGGCAGAGAGGGTTGCCCTGAAATGGAGTCAGGATCAGGACTGTCCACCTGGTACATTGTGTGGGGACAGAATCATACAGTGTTATCACATGATTAACTGTATTCTGACATGATTCAAAACAGCCATGGAAATATATCCGCTGGGTTAAGCATCATTCTGTCTGCTTCAGCAAGACGTACCCACTCTGGGGCGTAGTCATGGTACATGTGGTGGAGATGGCCCACCCTCCTTCTCTCTTTCCTGACTTATGCTCAGAGTCATGTTGTCCTCCCCAGAGGTATAATTCCCTCAAAAGGTTAGTGTCTAAGATGCCTTTCAAACTACAGGAATTCTTCCTCTGCCCTTTGTCCTCAGTGTGGGCAAGGACTGATCCTGTAGACCAGCACCCTGGAGCAGTGTTTTGTTTTTTTAACATCTGAATTGCTTCAGAGTCACCATGAGTATGGCACAGCTGACCAGGCTCTTACCCCAGAGTTTCTGACCGAGTGTGTTCTAGGAATTGTGTCTCTTATTGGTTCCCAGATGAGGCCGCCACTGCTAGTCTGGGCACCTTCCTTTAACGGCCACTTAGTGGATATTCTCAGACTTCAACTAGGGTGTTTCCCTTGAGAGAAAGGGCGAGGACGACAAAGAGGTGGGTCTGGTGTTGCGAGGCAACCACTAATAATGGAAGGTGAAGAAGATTCACGGGGTACCAAGAAGAGCAGCTGATGGAGGGTGACCAGACTTGACAGGAGAATACTATGACTAACTTCAATTTATTGTTACCTCTCCAGAGGCATAAGTAGGCCTCATCCCTATTTACCTGAGGTGTCGGCAGACTACTTGAAGGCCTGGCAGCTGACCAAGGAGAGCCTCTCTCCTGGCCGGGCCTTCTGCTCCTTGCCCCAGAGAGTCTTGAGCTTGCGGTAGTATACCTTGCAGCTGAAGCCCTCCTTGAAGCCCCCCTTGATGTGGCTCTTGAGGGAGTGCAGAGTGGGGTACATGCGACAGCAGGCCGCACACTTGTAGCCATTCTGTTGGGCTGGGTGCCACTTGGAAGCCATTAGGATGTCCTGGGATGTAATAGACTCCAAACCATGCTTGGATTTCTTGTTGGCCTCCCTGGGGTACGTGTTCTCTTGGGAGGAGGAAGACGAGCAGACACTCTCAGCCACATCCTCAATAAGGCAGTTGTCGCCTCTGCCCTCTTCCCGGTCCACCTCTGGGAACCCATAAGCCTCCAAGTGGCTCTCTTTGTCTGTGCATACGAAGTAGCTGTAAGGGGAAAACCAGGGCCGGTAGATGGTGCAGTTTCGCCTCAGCTGCTCCCCATTCTGGGCGTTCCCCAAGTCTGCAAAGGAGAGGGCAGGGTCTGAGTTTGGGGCTGAGGAGAAGGAAGGGTGAAGTGGCTGGAGGCAGTCAGGAGAAGCAGGCAGTCAGCCACAACCTCACCAGACCCAAGTCCCACCTTGACGGTGGCTGAGAGGCCACGGTTGATGAGGGGATGGGAAGAACAGGCCAAGACATCCGTTCCTGCTGCGTTCTTTTCCTGCTGGTGAAAATAGCCATTGGGGGTCTTGGCAGAAGACAGAACCTGCCCTGTGCAAAGAAATCCTGACTTCTGACTCCTCTAAGGATAGGCAAGGGCAGGTAGACACCTGACAACCTGTAACCTTTCTCCCGCCAATGACTTGACAACTTCTCCAGTCTCGGTACCCATTCTAATCACTCCATAGGCGACTCAGACAGAAACTGGCCCTCCACATGAGCTTGGCAGAGAGGACTAAAAGACAAGACGCCTCTGTGGGCCTGTGGGCCTCTACTACAGGAGGTACAGGTTAAAAGGCAGCATGTGGTGAGTGGACACCCTTCCCTTTAGGGGTACAGTGTCTCTCGTATCCCTGCCCAGAGGAGGAGAAGGCCTCACCTGGTGAGGGCACTTGGCTCTGCACCCCATGCTGGAGAGCATTGCTTTGGTACTGGGGTAGCAGGTCCTGAGCTGGGCTGGAAGCCTCAGTGGGTACCTCCGTCTTTACAATGTCTGGGTTATAGAAACGGTGAGCTGAGCAAGACTGGGAGTCCTCTTTTGGGGACCTTCCAAGACATACTTTAGAGGCTTACCTTCTGTGTGTTTAGGGATATCAAAACTAATGCAAAACAGTGACTTCTAGAGTCAAACAAGCAGACCTGTTCCAGGTGGTATCCCAGGGAGTCATAGATGGGGCAGTTTCTTCAAACCTAAAAAAATGTCCTCTGGGAACCAGGTTATAAGATTTGGCCAGGCCGGGGGCATGACGTAGTAGTAAAGGTCATGTGTAATACAATGAAAGCCTTGGTTTCCAACCTTATTATGAAGACTTGGCTCAGAGGACACTTTTTTCCCTGGCCCACCCCTCACCTGACGGTCCTGCTTATCACATGTAACTTCCTTTTCATGGGACTCTGGGACACAGGTTCCAAGAGGGAAGCTCTGGTCACAGCTTACATAGGCAAGTTGCATGCTGAAGTAGCTACTAAATCTCAGGTGACAAGTTCACTTAAGAAAAGGTTATGGCCGGGCGGTGGTGGCGCACGCCTTTAATCCCAGCACTCGGGAGGCAGAGGCAGGCGGATCTCTGTGAGTTCGAGGCCAGCCTGGGCTACCAAGTGAGTCCCAGGAAAGGCGCAAAGCTACACAGAGAAACCCTGTCTCGAAAAACCAAAAAAAAAAAAAAAAAAGAAAAGGTTATGGCCGTCTAGGGTTAGGGGTTAGTTCAGTGGGAAAACACTTGCCAAGCATGCCTGAGGCTATGGCTTTGATCTCCACCAAGTAGGTCTGGGAGAAAGTGGATCGGCCTTGAACTCCATGGCAAGAGCTAAGCTTTTAGGAGGTAAATTTTAAAATGTTCTCTGTAGGGGCAAATGGATGTTTAGGAGAACTCAGTTCTAGTGTGCATGGGAACCCCTAGGGGCTCTTGTTCTGAACCACTGGATCTGGTATGGAGGCCTGAGAAGCTGCCTCTCTCATCTTCCAGGTGATGGTCACACTGAAGAGCTAGGGTCACACTTCAGTTGACAAATCTTCGTGTGTCTACCTTTGTTCCTGCCTGTGCTCATCAGTTAGCCTACTACCTGCCACTAACTAATGCTTTTTTTCCCCCAGTTTAAGACCAAGTTAATGCAAGAGCCGGCTCCCTGTGTAGACAGATCACCACCTCGAGATTTCATACAGAAGCTGGCTCTAGGGGAAAGAAACGTGGCAACAAAGGCTTCTGCCATTTGTCCCTTGCCAGAGATAGTCAGCAACATTGACTAGGAATGCAGTCTTTTGAAAACTTATATTCTCCCCCTATGTTATTTGGCTTCCTCAAGCAATCATGATCCTATAGTGTGATCTGACAAGACCATGTTTTCCAAACACAACTCAAAGAAGTTTAATGAACAGAATCCCCCACCTTTGTAGTCCTGGTGACTTCAGCATTTACCTGGCAAGCTGGTGGCAAGTGAGGACATAATGTCAGGAAAAGCACTCAGGGCAGAGGAAGAGATTCGAGGTCTAGAGACGCTGAGAAGTGAGAAGTTCTCCATGTTCCGACCACCACAAGCTACGGAGGTCACACACCTGCTCCGGGAGGCTGGCCAGATTGTCTGGACAGTAAACATTCTGAATGCAGCTGACATCACAAGGTCCCACAATTCCACTAGCCAGTGGGGTTACGAGTTTAAAAGATGGATGTAGTTGTCTTGCATGCAAGACGATTTCGCCTTTTAAAAACTTAACTACTTTTTTGTTTTCTTTTTCCTTACTTTAAATTTTTTAAATCAATATAACAAAGGATTCGCTATCATTATAGAATTTTGTTATCAAAGTATGTTTTAGTAAATTCTCCTTCCTTCTCCACCCCCTCTAATCTCCCAAGTCCCACAACCTTTCCCAGTACCTTTCTACGTTGACATACATGTGCCCTTTGTCCTTTCCCACTATCCTTAGCATCTCTTTTTATTATTTATGGGTCCCTTTTTCTAGTTTTCTGCTGGCTTCACCCACCTTTACACCCATCTATATACATCACAAACTAGAATCTGCACCTAAAAAAAAGTCCAGTTTTTAATCTTTCTGAGTTGGGTCCCCTTGTTTAATATTATAATTTCCACAGGTGTTAGACTAATAAAACAGGGGAGATGAAAATAAAGTGGCAGAGCTGTAGCCACCTAGTTTTTGACAAACGTGTCAAAAGCATACAATGGGGGAAATACAAATAGTTGTAGCAACCGGGCCCCCACTGCGGAAGACTACAATTGGACCTACTGTCTTTCACCTCATGCAAAGGTCTCTTCAGAGTAGGTCAGAGACAGTCAAACCGAAAATGCTGGAACTGCTAGAGGAAACATAGATATACTTCAAGATCATAGCCATAGTCAAGAACTTTCTAAGCAGAACTCCGGTCACTTGGGAAATGGCCCCAGGATGGAACTGCATGAAATTAAAGAGCCACTGAATAGCAAAAGAAGTTACCGATGGAGTGAGCAGGTATCTCCCAGGATGGCAGGAAGTCTACTCCACCTACACTTCAGATGGGGAGCTAATGGCGGGAGTTTGTTTGTTTTTGTTTTTGTTTTTGTTTTTTTGTCATTCCTCGGTGGTCCGTCTTGGCTGAGAATGCCCAGCCAGAAGGAAGAATATCATAGAGCCATAACAGTGATGGTGTTTGTCCCCCATTTTCTCTATGAGTGTCAACTTTTCTGTGTTCCCACGTCTGGGACCCTCCGTCCTCTGGGTGGGAGTGACCATCTTGCTTTTCTTCTTCCTATTTTCCTGGCCTCTACCACTGAATATCTGTGTTGTTTTGTTCTACTGATCGCATTGTTTAGAGCATGCTTTTTGCGACACTTTTGGGAAACAATTTCAGTTTCTAAAATGTGCAAAACTTAAAATTAGTACAGAAACATCCACAGACTGTGTGGCTAGATCTTCCTGTTTTAACATTTTTATCCCATTGTGTTATCAGTTCCTCTTCCAGTCATAATTTATGTGTACATATGTGTGTGTATGCATGCATGAATGTGTGTGTATTTGTCTGTGTGTGTATGCATCTGTGTATGTGTGTGTCTGTCTGTGTGTGTGTGTGATTGGGGATGAAACACAAGGTCTTATGCATGCTGGGTAAGCACTCTACCACTGAGCAACATTCCCAGTTAATGTGTTTTGTTTGTTTACTTGTTTTTTGAACAATTTGGAGGTAAGTTTCCCCATGTCCTTTTATACCTAAAAACACTTTAACATATATTTCCTAAGCTTAGGGATCAGCTATTGTTTCTAATTGTTGGTGCTCTTTTAGGTAAGTGGCTTCCTCCATCCTGCTTTGCTTATTAAGGCAGTGTGCTGGTGAGACTGTGGATTCTGGGGCCGCTTTGTCTCTCTGCCATCCTTTCCCATATAACAACCTGGCACCCTTAGGAGGATGTGGAATAAGAATGAAAGGTGATTGTGACCCTTAGAAGAGGAGATGCAGGTGTCCCATTCTGGACATCATCAAAGCCCATCAACTTAGATACGTAGAAGTGCTTTGGATGTAAATGGTGATGTGTTTACCTTAGCTGCAAAAAACAGCCCCATCCTCAACTCCCAACTCTGGCCAATTTTGTAGAGCATGTCTGAGCATTTATTCCCAGCTACTTGAACATTTGAAGGGATAAGGGAACCTAACTTCCCTTCTGTTTCTCCCCATGGTTGGTTTAGACTGCTAGAATGTTTACAATGTAAATTAACATTAATATTTTGGTGGCTCTAAGGTTGTTGGCCATTTCCCTTGAGTCACCATGGTGTAAACAAAGCTCGTGGGTCTGGGAGTCAGGCTTTGTGATTTTGAATCCCCTTCTCCATCAGCTGCCTATGTGGTGGGCAGCAGCCTCTGCCATTTGGTTTTAGTACTGTTCCTTTAGACTGAGTTAGAGTGTATGAATGAATGTCTTCCTGGCTGCAATGTAGTAGTTTCCGTGTGAAAGGAGCAAAGATGTGAGCTATATGCACAGGGTCCACCGGGTTTAGAAGTGTTTCCGTTACTAACTAGGTAGATTCTTTTAAATTCTTGTAAAGGGGGCCCAAAATGTCCGGAGGGAAATGGGAAGGCTGGCTTTTGGTTGTTTTGAAAACACGACCCTGTTTTGATTTAGCTATCGGAGAGTTTGTGGGAACTCGGTCTTTGCACAGTTTGCTAAAGCGGTTTGTGGCACAGCCTTTTTCGTGGGTTGTTGCTGACGGCTCAAACAGGAGATAACCTCTCTCACAGTGGTTGGTCACTACATAAACGTGTCTTTCTCTCATTTGTTCCCCACCTGCCTTTCGAGTCCTTTTCTCGGACAGGTAAGACCCCCTCTTCCTTGTGGATGATGTATTTTCCCAAACGTCGCCCTCCGCTTGAATATGTGCATGTTATGGGGTGCTGCTGGGAGGGCTTCCCTGCTGGGATCCAGTCATCCTTCACACCATCATCATTGTTCTGTCAGTCACCAAGACGAGTCCCCGGGGCTGAAGGCACAGAGTGTGAGAGGCTCATTAGCGGGAAAGGGACTCACATTGGGGACTACAGAGGCCAGCTTTACAGAGAAGATGATGTTTCCTAGCCTGAGCTCAGAAGCCTTCGGAACCACTGCCACAGAGAGGGCTTGAGTGCTTTCTGAGACTGGAGTCACAAGTCTAGAGACAGCTTGAGTGACTTCCCTATATTCTCAACCCATAGTTGAGATGGTTTTGGGTGTTTTTTTTTTTTTTTAAGAATTCACATAAAAGTCAAATTCAATTAAACTGATTTATTAAATGCTTATTGTTATGCAAGGCCTTGTGGATAATAAAAGCACTCTAAGATTCTATAGCCCCTTCCAAGGATCTTCCCCTTCTGTTATATAGACCAGGTGTACTTCCCAGGAAAACTGAGGTAATGAAAAAGAAAGCATAGAACAGACTTTAAATTGCTGAGGAATTTAGCATCTTTCACAGACTATATTATAAAAAGTAGAGAAGTACAGGAAATCCAAATGAGGCATCATCTAAGTTGTTTGTTAAAGGTGTGCGTTGGAAGTAATAGGCACCCGTGATTTATGAATCACATTGATGGGCAGTTTTAGTGTTTCTGCCTTTTAAAATGAGTGTGCTTGCTCTGACATTATAAAAACTGCCAGAGAATTATGAGATCCAGGAAACAGTGGCGAACTTGCTGTTCCTAATGCACACCTATAGAGCATTGCATACAATTCCTTTCTGTTCTGTGCTCTTTCTGGATGGAAGGGGGGAAAGGGATAGTGAAATTAGTTTCCAAATAACCTCAGCTAGCTTGCAGAGTGCCTAAGTAAATAAAATGAAAGGATTTGGGTCACGATAGGCAAATTATGCCAAAGTGGATGACATGGCAAGACACACTCTTAAGAGAATGGTCAGGAGCAGCTGTGGGGTAGCCTGAGGGCTCTGCCAGTGTGATAGGTGCACATCTGGAGTCCAAGCTGCTCGAGACTTCTCCAAAATTCCCTGGCATGTCCCTCCCACCACACAGTAATTCCACCCCAGGAGACCTGAGGAGCTGCTAGCTCATATTCCATGAGAAAATGTGCCCGTGGGTCAAGGCTACTCAGAGGTGAAGACTATGGAAGCCATCCACGGGTGAGAGTTCCGCTCTTCTTCCCATGGCTTTCTCTCTGCCACCTAGGGACCCTTCCAATATAAGTTATCTAGGTGATTGATTCAGTTGGGATTTCTCAACTCAAATCACAGAAAGTAAAGCATTCCCCCTGGCCTGGAACTCAGCAATGCAGGACAAATGAGACAGAACATGAAGACTTATCCTCAGGCAATCTTAGGAAAGGTCTACTGAGATAGACCCTTAGCAGACGTATTGACAATGGGAGCCCAGGGACCACAAGCAACCTCTCTTCATCCAGATAGACAACAAAGCTAGAACAATGGCCATGGACAACTAAGGCTCAAAGTCTGGTTATTTTGATGACCTAGAAGAATTTTCAGAGAGAATATGGATACCCAGGTGTCAGCATGTCCTAGTCAGGGTTACCATTGCTGTGATGAAACACCATGACCAAAAGCAAATTGGGGAGGAAGGAGTTTATTTAGCTTATGCTTTCACATCCATAGACCATCACTGAAGGAAGTCAGGACAGGAACTCAAACAGGGCAGGAAACTGGAGGTAGGAGCTGATGCAGAGGTCATGGAGGGGAGCTGCATACTGGATTGTTCCCTGTGCCTTGCTCGACCTGCTTTCTTATAGCACCCAGAACTACCAGCTCGGGGATGGCACCACCCACAATGGGCTGGGCCCTTCCTCATCAGTCACTAATTAAGAAAATGCTCTATAGGCTTGCTTATGCCATGTTCTTATGGAGGCATTTTCTTAAGTTAAAGCTGCCGCCTCTCTGGTGACTCTAGCAGTGTCAAGTTGTCATAAAGTTATACAGCACCCTGTGTCTGAGCAGCATAGCAAAGAGCCTGGAGCTCCAGCCATTTCAACAACAGACTTCATGGCTACTGTCTTAGCCTTCCTAAGTCTCCACCGGCAATGTGAATTGGGGCAGCTCATCTGAGATGCTCATTGAGTACCTGCTGAGTACCAGGCCCAAGCTTGGTGTTGAAGATGCAAATACAAAGATACATGGAGTGTGGCCTCAGCCTTGGGAATATTTACCATCCAGTAAGCCAACCCTCAAGCTAACTGTTCAAGCCATACAGAGGTCCCAAGAGGACCCTCTTCCTTAGCCATTCCATGACCCAAGTAGAGGAAAGAGCCCAGGACTCTGGGTTAGAAGGCCTGAGTTCTGATTCTAGCCAACCCACAGCTAGTGTGGTGCCAGGCTTACAGTTACTAACTACTCTGAGCCTCTCCCTGGTCTAATGAGCTCCTTTAATGGGTTCCCATGGGGACAAGTAGACAGGGGTTTGTCAGGACATTTGTACTTCACTGGAAGCAAGGCCCTGTCCGTGTGGCACACACTGGGTCTGATTGACTGTCTGGCCCCTGTGTCCACAAGCTTACCTACTCTCCCAAGTTCCACTCCAGAAGACCTGAGGAGCTGCTGGCTCATACCCACCCCATGGGGAGAATGTGCCACACATGTGGCTTTCAGTAGGGAACTCCCAACACAGATCCCTGTCTGCCCTTCCTGCAGCCAGCCCTGTTTCCAGTGCCTGAGACAGAGAGCGCAGTGTAAACATGTCACATTTCACTATTTCATCCTCATTTTTTCCTCTCTGCTTCAAAGGGCCTGGTGACCTTAAGGCCAAAGAAGTCAAGCCACGAGTCAAGGAGGCTGGTTTAAAGGAATACGCCTGACTTTTTACGACTGGAGTCAGTCACTGATTAACCAGGGTGGGGAACAACTGGAATTTTTGGTCCCATGTCCTATCCCCAAAAACTACCCTGGAAAGTTTTAAAAGCATCTTTACTAGAAGCTTCCAAAGCTTTGTGAGGTGATGAGTGTGCTATAAACGAAGGGAGGCTGAGTGGCACAGTCCAGGGTCCTGCTCCCCTCCACTCACCTGTCTCCTCTCTCCTCTGTCCATAGTTGACCACAGCATGTTCGAGAACTTGAACACAACCCTCACTCCCAAGCTCCAGTCCAGCCGTTCCTTCCCCCACCTGTCCAGATCTGCGGCGCCAAGCTCCGTCACCCCTGGCTCTGCAGAGGCAGGAGGACCAGGACTGAGGGTGGGCAGCAGCCAGCACCTTAAGAACCTGGGCAAAGCCATGGGGGCCAAGGTCAATGACCTCCTGAGAAGAAAGGAGTCCTCAAGCCTGGGCAGTGTGGGTGTGATGGAGATTAACAAGACTGTTGGGGCCCAGCTGCCTGGTGGGGAGGATGTGGCCTGTGAAGCCTGGCTGGAGGATGAAAGGTGAGTCTTCTCATCTGCCCCTTATCCCACTCGAAGACATAGGGACATGGACAAACTACACTGAGTTTGGGAGAGAACAGACCCATGGAGGGGATGAGCAACTGTCAAGAAAAGTGGAGAGAGATAGGCCTGTGTTGATGAGAGCCCACTTCAGACTCCACAGTCAGAGAAGCGCTTCCGGCCTGGGCGTGGTGTCACACTGTAACCCAGGCTAGCCCGGAACTCATGGTCCAGCCCAGGCTGACCTCAAAGTCAGAGCAATTCTCCTGCCTTGGCTTTTCTGAGATTAGAGCTGGGAGCCACCATGCCAGGTTTAAATGTATTTTCATTTGCAAATTACCCAAGTTCAGAGAGGTAGCTGTGCCTCTCGGTATTTGGAACTGAGTTTGAACCCTGGTCTTGCCCACGTGGGTTCTGATGCCAGCCATTCCTGAAAACTGCTGCTGTAGACTGAGTGCCTGGTAGGAAGGGAGAAACCTGCTACAGCTACTTCCGTTTCCATCCAACAGCTCCTTTCTGGGCCTTGATTCCAACACCTATGCCCTTTAATGGGACTTGGGTTCTGAGATGACTGGGATCTTTATCCAGCCTCACAGAGGCAGCACTTGGTGCCACTCTGAGCACTGAATGAGGAGGGAACGGCCCCATAACTAATTGTGCTGAAGTTGCTAAAATCTGCACCCTAAACCCAGAACGAGTGCTCGGCAGAGGAAGCATGACCTGGGGTGGGGTCGGTGGGCAGTGAAGGGGCAGTTGGAGTAGAGAATTGAGAATGTGTGTAGACTGGTGTCTCGCCATCATAAAGCCTGGATGCTCATTCTCATGGTCCTGCAGGTCAGTCCAAGAAGCCTTCCCTCTGCTGGATCCTCCACCTCCCATAACCCGGAAGCGAACCCCTCGGGCCCTGAAGACCACCCAAGACATGCTGATCTCATCGCAGCCCGTCCTAAGCAGTCTCGAATATGGGACAGAACTGTCACCTGGGGAGGCCCAGGACTCTCCACCCACTGCTCAGCCTGCCTCTGCAGATACTTCGAGGCCAGAATCTACCGTTGAAATGGGAGATAAGGGAGAGGCTCTGCCCAATGGTGAGGTGTCCCTCTTGGTACCTGACCTAATACACAAGAACAGCCAGGAGGAATCCAAGCTAAAGGCAACTGAGTGCAGAAAAGCCTCCTCCCCTGGCCCCATTGAGAGGAATGGCCTCAAGCTCAGCTTGAGCCCCATCAGCCTGGCTGAGTCTTGGGAGAACAGCAACCCGCCTCCGCGGGCACGGACCTCCAGTCTTGAGCACGAGGGCCTTCACCCAGACCTGCTCTCCTTTGAGTAGTGTGTCTTGTCTTCCCAGCCGAACACGCTCTTCACTTTGTCCTCCACTGCACACCGGTCCTTTGTCCCAACTCTGCCATGCCCCCATCTTCCTCATGGAAGGCACAGCAGAGCCCACTTTCTGCCTGAGCTGCTGTGGGACCAGATGGCCACAAGTAGTCCCAGCGAAGGAGTCTGCAGAATGGCAAAAGGATGTGGGTGGCATCTCTGATCGATCCTACTTCTCTGTAAGATCCTCTGGCTGCTGTTGGAACGCATCTACCCTCAGGCTTGTCCCAGTTTCCTACTGAATTACAGGGCCACTGGCCTAGGAGGATGGATCCAGCAGGAATTCTCTTTGCCTGTCTGATCAGATGCATATGCTGTCTGTTTTTATCTACCCCCGACCCCACCAAGTCCTGATTCTGTCCCTTTCTTCCATAGTGGTCCAAGGACTGCCTGCCTTGAAGGAAATACAGCTAGGGAGGAATGGGAGGCTTGGTTTAGTGATGGGATCCTGCCTGGAAAGCTGCAACTTGACCACAACCTCATCATACTTCCTTTAGCCTCCAGGCCATGTGGACCCCTAGCCACCATCTTTCTTCTGTTTCTGGGTTAGGGCCAGAAAAGGTGCTTCCAAGGCCTGGGACCTTGAGGACTTCCTCAAAGGTTGAACCTCGTCACCAGGGTTCCAGGGTTTTCCTATCCAGTGAGATATACCCCTGCCTCTCTGGGTAGGCACTTCGGGCAATAGTATGGGCAGTTGTGCTACGTTTGTGAAGATAGAATTTGGCAGGCCCCTGCGGAAGCAGCAGAGAGTGTTCAACATTCAAGAGGAGAGCTTGGGAACATGGAATGGTCCTGTAAGAGCCAAGGGCGGAGATCATAGAGAAGAGTAAAGTGAGGACTGAGAAGGGCGTCACTGAGAATCAGAGCAGCTTCTCAGGCCACTCCACACCAAGAATGAGGCAGTGCCAGGGCCTGGGAACAGTATGTGTGAGAGCCAGGGTGGAGCATGTGAGAGACTGGAATGCGGTGAGGACCGTGGTGGCAAAGTGGTTGTGGAAGTGAAAGTGCTTCTTTGTGTGTGTGCTGAAGGGTCCTGAGTTCCCTGCAGCAGCAGGCCTGCCCAGAGATATCCCCTGAGCCTCTGTCCTTTACCCGGGTGATAACGATCCTCCTCTGCTTCTGCCGGCAGGATCTGTGTAAGGAACCAGCAAGGTTTATCAACCCTTGACCAGTTCCTGCCTTCTAGGTTAACTTGCTTTGGGTTCTTTTCTCCCTCCAGGGGCCCTAGCATGCTGTCTTCCTGTGGCCAGGAGACTCTGTAGTGATCCCAGCCACGAGGGTCTTTGTAGCCAGAAGAGGACATCCCTGGTCTCGAACAAGGAGGTCAGAGCCCCACAAGGAGGCTGGGGATGGTGCACCCAGCCAGGGCAGGTCCTGTAGCACTCATCTGGCTCTTCTTCCTGTGGTCTTTCCTTGGCTGCCTGCTGGGCTTCCCATCTGGGAGACTGGGACTCCAGGCCTCGCTTCCCAGTTCAACATCACCAGCATGCTGCCCTCCTCCCAACCAGCAGACATCTGAGCTAAATCCTGCAGAACCAGAATAGGAGGCCTTGGCCACTGGGATCCCTGGGATGAGGTTCCCCTCTCATATACTTGCTTAAGCAGCTGTATGGCTCCAGCCACCTCTGCCCTGACCCTCTTCTCTCACCCCATCTTCCATTGCCACAGAGAACAAGACTTCATCTCGCTGCAAAGTCCTGTCTCTTCCTCTCATGAGGAACTGTGCAGCCAGGCATCTGAAGGCCCCGATGGAGTATATAGGATGGTTAACACATATGTAGCACATGTGCCTTGTTCCAAGAACATCCCAAGGATGTGACATCTGACCTTGAAGTCAGAGAAGTCCTTAGGACTAGCATTTGAGGACCTATGAATTTTCCCAGAATGACTTGTGATATTAACCTAAAATAGAGAGAGTCTGGGCTGTGGGGTGGAAAGCCTAAGCATACACTAGAGAGCAAATCCAATGTAATCTGAGCTCTCCAAGCCAGAATCTTGGTTTGCTCCTCTGATGGGAAGCTCAGCTGGTAGCTTCTCTCTGGGGCTGCCCTTCCCCAGAGACTAAGTGATAAGGTTGCCTAGGACCAACAGCATGAGGCTGGGCTTGCTTAAGCACCCAGGATACTGCTAGAGTCCTGGCCCTCAGGCCCAGGATTAGCCAAAACATCCCATCGTATTGGCCCAGGACCCCTGAAAAGGAAACTTCTGAGTACTTTAGACTTGTTTTGGGTGTTGAATTAGGTGTCATGGATGCCTGCACCAACTCCTAGAATCTTGGTCATCTCCCAGCTATAGAAGTGATGCTGCTACCTCAGGAGGGCCTTTGGGACTGAGCTGTGTCTTAGATGCTGCAGATGCTGCCTGGTGCTAGGGGGACCAGCAGGAACAAATCCTCTTGAGGGCTTTGATTCACCTCAGCTCTTCCATTTAGTGCCCCAACAGGCTCACTGACCATCCCAGCAGTCTGGACTGTAGTATGGCAGCCTTCACAATGAATCAGGATCCTCTGGGGGCTTGGTCTTTGGGTAGCTTGATCTGCATTGGGGCGGGGGTGGGGAGGGTCGTCAGGCAAATGGGGAGGAATGGAGAATCTAACTTCTATGTTTAAGAAGCTGGGGACTTGGAGCCTTTTTCTCCCCCACTTCTTTCCAGCCCCATTGTATACCCCCATTCAGCCCATAGCTTTACCCTGATAGATCACAAAGTCTGCTTCCAGAAGCCTGGAAAGAGGGTGTTCCCTCCCCAGTCCCAGCCCACACCTCTCTCTAGAAATGTATCTGTGAATGTTCTGTATCTGGGAGACGTGAAGACATGTGTTTTTATTCCATCATCTTTTACAGAACAAGTTTGGTCCCTGTTTGAAAGAACAAGATTATAGTTCTATTCTGAGTATTTTTTAGAGAGTTCGTATTTATATTTTTAGAGTTTTTTTCTTGTAGAAGGAAATTGCATAATAAAATGATAATGTGTTTTGCTGGCTTGTCTTTTTTCTTCCTGACTGGTGGAAAATTCTGGAGTTCTGGGATCCTAGAGGCTCCCTGGGTAGGTGCAGAGCCATGGCATTTTACTTTGCAAACCTGTGAGACTGGGAAATTGAGGGAACTGGAAGAGATGAGGAAGAGGGCCACTGCAAACAAACCTCCAGCTTGACACTATTAGAGTAGTGAGGATGAGTTAGGATGGACCATCTTTTATGCCCCAGACTAGCTGACTGCTGTGAGGGTCCCCATCTATGACTTTCTGGACCATCAACATGATGTGTGCATGCCCAGCCCTCCTTGGGAAGCTGTAAGGAAACACACATGCCCACTGACTCCTTCTGAATGAAGATCTTTCTTACCCCAGGGTCCACGGTCTGCTTCCATCACAAAGGGATGGAATGACATGCTCATGTGTATACTTTTCCCCACAGGGACCAAAGCAGCTCCCTCACAGGGAGTTAGCATCAGCAGCCACCAGAAAAACACTCAAAGCTGACAACTTTGGGGAAATTGCTCTGCCATTGCTGCTCTGGACTGGAACAGTCCTTGATGTCATTTGCTGATGTCATGAACAAGAGCTGGTGTGGAGTCCTTTTGCTGTTACTGCTGTCAGAGCTCAGAGTCCAGAGGAGTAACGCTCTAGAACAACAGTTCTCAGTCTGTGGGTTGTGACTCCTTTGAGGTTGAACAACCCTTTCACAAGGAGTCACCTAAGACCATCAGAAAATACAGATATCTATATTATGAGTCATAACAATAGCAAGATTATGTTATGTTTGGGGGTCACTACAACAAGAGGAACTTTATTAGAGGGTTGTAGCATTAGGAAGGTTGGGAACCATTGTTCTAGAGAATTGGGCCTTTGACTTCCTCAAAGGGAAGAAGATAGAGAAGAAATGGGAAGGGAGGGAAAGGGGCTTCTGTAGTGTTCACACAAGCCACTCACATGCCAGAGGGGGGAGATGGGGGCCTTTCTGTCTAGACCTTTCATTTGCTGCCTTGACTAAACCTGGGTTTAGAGTCTATAGTCCAGCATGTAGAGGTTCCCTTGTTCTGTGTCAGGAACATCTCAACGTGGGGTGAAGGCTCTGACCTTTTCTGCATCTCATTGTGTTTTCCCAGAGGCAGCAAAGAAGAGAAAAACTGGGTTTTCTAAGCTAGCTTGCTTGCCCTACTGTGGGGCACAGCTATGTTATTCCAAGAAAGCAGGAGCAATACAAAAACCGACCCAGCAGTATTCCATGCATGGGAAAATGCATTGAAAATACTTACAATAGCAACATTTTTCTTTAAGTGTGTGCTCTGGTGACCATTCTTTAGGCAAACTCTCCCATTGGATGGTCTGGAGATCTGCTTCTATCATCAATTCAGGTGTGAAATGTGCCTATTACATGCCCTCCTTTCCCACCACTGTGCAAAGTTGGTTTTGGTTTTTTTGGTTGGTTTGGTTTGTTTTTTGTCTACAGTCAAGTATGCAGAAATGGTAATGAAAAAAAAAATTAGGGAAATTTTTAAGTGTAGAAATGAGTGTGCACATGACACTTTTTCAATGTTGTCTTCTAAGCTGAACCACTGGTCCAGAAACTAAACTGCATTTTTATCCAGACATTGGAGGCAAGTGATAGATACCGGGCCCTCTCTGTTGACAGTGGATGAGGATGCCATGCCTTCCCTGTAGATATTATGCTAACACAAGTGTCTAGGAGCATGGCAGAACCACCCAAAACAGGCCAGTTAATTTCAACTGTAAGAATGTCCATTTCCCCTGGGTTTACCGCAAGTGCTAGGGGACATGGACAGTCTCCTGGAGGCTGTTAACAACTCTCCTTTGTTCCCAGGGTCTGTGTGAAGCTGGTGTGGAACCCAGCTGATGTTCAAATGTAATGGAATTAGCACTTCTAAACAGCGCCCCCCACCAGGCTGTCCCAAACTCAGGGAATTCCTTCTTGGTCCATTTGCTCACCAGTTTTGACATCCCTCTGAAGGATGTTATTGTCTCTTCGTTCCCTGCCACCCCATGCCTCTGAGTTTCCCAGCCCAGCTTGGCCCATAATGATTGTCTCTGAGATTTTGGTCCTGGGGTCCCTGAGGTCACTCAGCAGTGCTCCCCACAAGGCCCTCCCAGGTTTAGGGTGCCGCATGTGAAGCACCCCACCATGGCTCTCCTGGGAGCAGGAACAAGTACAGGTAGCTACTGTGGGCAGACTCACTACCCCCCCCCCCAAGTACAAGTGGCATGTCTGCTTTTCATCTCCCAAGAAAAGCTCACTTTGGAAGCTTCCCATTGTCCAGTGAAAGCCCAGTGGAGGTCTTTACCCCTCCAGTGAGCTTTCCTCCCGGCTGCCATTTGTACCAGGGGCACATGATGAAAGCCCAGACTTCCCACCACAGACTTCCTACTAATGAGAAAATTCCTCCACTTTCCGTATCTAGGGACTGACCCTCTTGAGACTCAAGTCTTTGTGTCCAGCTTATCTCCAGCTGCTGCCATGATGAATAGCCCAGCCCAAGGGAGCCTGGGGGCAGCTGTACCCCCAGGAAACTTGGTTATTAATACAGACAGGGAAACAGTCCTGAAGAAATATTTAAGGACCAACTCGAATAGAGCAGACTGCATTCTCTCTCGTGGGAGTTGCTTAAGATTTATGTTGGTTACATGGCGCGGGGAAACGTGGCCTGTGTTTTCCTTTGCTATAGAGGGAAAAAAAAGGCCTACAAATAAAACCTACCAACAAACTGTAGCTCCCCCACCTCCTTTCACCGTTTCAACAGTGATCTATTTCCAGTGCCATCTGCTTAACCACCTCCTTTCTTAAAACATCCCTCCGTTTGCCACCTTATCTCTCCCAAGCTTCTGCTTCTTATGTAATTCTAGTTGGCTCAGTCTGATGTTCAAACACATCCAAGTGTTCAGCCCACACTGTGGGCCAACTCACAACTCCCCAGGAGGTTTGGGGTGGTCCTAGCCACTGAAGGCTAGTAAAAGGAGCAGCCTAGACTCCTGTGGCAGAGGGAAGTCATTCCCATCAGTCCTGTGAAGGACTTGAGACTTAAGCACCCTTGATGAGGTCCTTGTGCCTACAACGGGCAGACCCAGTCTCACGCCACCTCCCGAGGCACCTCCTGGTTTCTGGGTAAAGTCTGTTCTGATTAGTCTTCCTGGCTTGGCTCAGTCCTGGGTCCTCTGTCTGGAAGAGTCAGCAGAGCTGGAGGACACTCTGTAGTTGGTGGGGCTTTTCTGGGAGTTGTGTCTTTAGAGATGCCGTATTAGTCTGTGGGAGCAGAGGTGTTGGTCAGGCCTCTTCCCTGCCAACTGGTGACTGTGGGTCGTATACACTGTGACCAGGCTTGGGGCCTTGCTGTGAGACCAGGAGTCAGCTGTCAGTGGTCCTCGGTACTCTATCTAGACCATCCTCTGTCCAGCCTCAACCTACCTTCTTTTCCAGGTTCGTATGCCACCATTCCATCTCTGCCCCAGAACCCTAGAAGCCCAAATTGCCCAGAATTGCTTCTCTACCTTTGTTTTAGTTTTTTTTTTTTGTTTTTTTGTTTTGTTTTGTTTTGTTTTGTTTTCTTTCTTTCTTTCTTTTTTTTTTTTTTAGAAGGGGTTTTACTACATAGCCTAGGATAGACTTGAATTTGCAATTGTCCCGCCTTGGCCTCCCAAGTGCTGGGATTATAGGCATTTGCCCCCACAGCTGCCCCGCCTAATCTCACACCTTCCTTCCCTCTGATGTTGCCAGGCCATGATAACTCATCCTTCACATTCCCACATGCTTTGCCCTCCCTCCGGGTTGCCTGCCTTGCCCCCACCCTGCTGTGCTTTGCATGTGAAATCATGAGTTCCAAGCCAGGCTGAGCTCTACCTTCCTGGATAGTGCCATCAGCTGGGGACCAAGTATCCAAACACTGAAACGTGGGGAGTATTTACATTCAAACCACACCCTACCCCACCATGCTCTCCCACACCACCCTGTAGTTTTAGTCACGTGCCCCCCATGTGGTTTGCAGAGCAGTGCGGCCTTCTGTGTCTCTCTGCAAGCCTCTGAGCGCTTTGGGGCAGGGGTCAAACCATCTCCACATAGAGCTCCTCAGTTCCCACACGGCACCCGTCAGGTTGCAGGAACTTTGGAAAGATAGGCTTGTAATTTGATTTGTGTGGGGCAGATGAGCTGAGCTTACCTGGGTTTGGAGTAGGTGAACGCTGCTGCTTCAGGCTGTCTTCCTCAGTGTCTCTGTCTCGAACAACCTTCCTGGGCCTGGTTAGTCACTGCACAGGAGACTATGGGAGGCCATGCTCAAAAGGGAAACTGACTAATGGGCCAGTAAGAAGCTCATTTATGTCCACCTAGAGCCTTCGTTAACTCTGTTCCCTGGGTGGACAGGCGCAGAGTGCCCAGAAACGTGCTAATACTCCGTCTAATGCAGGAATGCTAGGCACCTGCTGAAGCCAGAGAGATGCTTACACCCCTGAGCTCCAGTTCTTCATCCTCCCTTTTGTTGCATTCATTGGGGCTTAATTGTAGTCTCCAGAGCGTCTGTCTATGTAGTCCCGCAATTGTTCTGATCAATTCGCACACATCACTTCCTTTGTTTTTCTCAGTAACACTGTACAAGCAATCTAAGGAAGCCCACTTTTCAGACACATAATCTCTTACTATGTTTGGAAAAATCCACACACCTGATCCCATCAGTTCTCATATCTTGAGAGGAGGTATTTCAGCAGCACTGGTGGGGGTAGAGGATGGGGGTGGGGTGGGGGACAGAGGGAGTGAACCTTACAACTGATGCAAAGCAGAATGAGCCCCCGAGGCCAAGGTTTTCAGACTGGGGGATCGCCCCTCTTCACTGCCACCCATGGCTCTGTGTGCTTCCATCACACCAGCTAATAAACAAGTCCAGGAACTAGTCACGGCCCAGAAATACCTTTTTTACTGTGGCCTTCTCCAAGGATAAATGCACTTCCCCTGAACACTGAACGTTCATTCAGAA